GCCGTGTGGCAAGTGCAAAAATCAAATTGATCATATTGCCATCAGCAGGAGGCATCGGAGTTCTTTGTGTTTGTGTAAAACGAGGTGATGTTGGCAGTGATCATCAACTTGTGGTATCAAAATTAAGATTTAAACTTAAGAGTCAAAAGAAAGGGACTGCTGGGGTGTGTTGGTACGATATTGATCTGCTTAGAAGGAATGGAGAGGAAAAGGAGGATTTTAAATGGGAGTGTAGGAATAGATAGGTTTGTTCCGTTGGAAGCTTTAGGGGAGGAGAGGAATGTTGCTAATATATGGGGAGTGAAGAAAGTTTTGAAAGAATCTGCAGATTGTACTATCAGAAGAAGGCGCACAGCTAGGAGAAAGAAGTGGATGTCGGAAGAAACGTGGGATATTATTAAGAAGAGGATAGATGCAAAGCTAAGGAGTGAAATAAGCAGGATTGATGATCGCGAAATCGAGCTAGTATGGGCAGAGTATAGGAGTTTGCATTCTGGTCAGGAGATTGACTAGGAGGGACAAAAGAAGACTAGTAAACGAAAAGGTTATGGAAACAGAAAAAAAATATGGGTAAAATCAAAGATTAGCATATAAAGCAATCAAGGAATTGAACGGAAATTTGAACAAACAAAAAGAAATTTCAGTTACAGATAGAGAGGGAAATTTACTAACTAGAGGTAATGACATAAAGAATAGATGGAAGGAGCACTTTGAAACTGTACTAAATGGACCGATACTACCGGAGGAGGAGATACCAGCTGCAGAAAATGATTTGGATATAGAGAGTGGAGAGATAACGGTAAATGAAGTTGAGAAGGCAATAAAACAATTAAAAAATAACAAAGCACCTGGGGAGGATGAGATTTTTTTTCCAGAGATGCTTAAAGTGGATGAAAATAGCTTGACGTTGGTTTTGATAGTTGTTTGATAAAATTAAAGAGAGTGGGGTGATACCATCTGAGTGGAAAAGTGGGGTAATTGTTAAGATTCCAAAGAAATGTGAATTGAGTGATTGTGGGAATTGGAGAGGGATTACTTTGTTACAAATAGCTTTGAAAGTATTTAGTAAAGTTTTACTTAATAGGATGGAGCCGGTAATAGATAGAATTTTGAGGGATGAGCAAGCGGGGTTTAGAAATGATCGTGGATGTAATGATCAGATATTTGTGGTTTGGCATGTGATGCAACGGGCGAATGAATTGAAGGTCCCACTAAGTTTGCGTTTCGTGGATTTTGAGAAAGCATGTGATATTGTTTCGAGGGGAGCGATGGGGAAGGTGTTGGGGCATTATGGTGTTCCAGAGTGGTTGGTGATCTTGGTGACAAATCTACATGAGAATACAATATGTAAAGCATCATTGAGTGATGCTTTTGAAGTTAAGTCTAGGGTAATTCAGGGTGGAATTTTGCTCCCCTCATTGTCTGTTGTGGTTATAGACTGATATGAAAAAGGTTGTAAGGGAAACTGACGCAGGAATTATTTGGTGGGAGGAACGGAAATTGCTGGATTTGGACTATACTGATGACGTATTATTTAGTGAAGGAGGGGAAGAGATGCATAGAGTACAAGACTGTTTAGTTTGAGAGGGAAAGAAAATTGGTTTGTTAAATAATTACGCAAATACTGAAATTGTGAATATGAACATTTATAACCCAAGAGATTGTGCAATTGATGGAAAAATAGCAAAAGCAGAGTTTTAAATATCTAGGAACGTTTTTATCAAAGGATGGATCTTTAAAAGTAGAATTTGAAGAGATGTTGAGGAAGGCAAATCAAGCGATGGGAGCGTTAAAAATGTTTGTGATAATTTTTCAATACATACTAAAATATAAAAATATGTCTATGGCGAGAACAATTTTATTATCTAGTCATGAATCATGGTATAGTACGATAACATCAGATAATATTTTTTTGTTTTTGAAGGTTATTGGGAGTTAAATGGTGGCATTTAGTTTCAAACAATAGGCTCAGAGAAATTACGAGGGTGCAATCAGTGCGAGTAACACCCGGTTGGCATGCTCAGGGAAGAAGAGGAAGAGGTAGGCCAAAGGAGACGTGAGTACACACTCGGGAGGCTGAAGAGAAATGTTGGGACGATTTGGAGGCGTTGGCGCAGGATAGGTTGTTGTGGGGGGAATTCATCGATGCCCTATGCATTCCCCTGGGTGCCGTAGGATTTGATATATGTGTGTGTGTGTGTGTTTGTGTGTATATACATATATATGTAAATATATAAACACACACACACACACACACACACACACACACGCACACACACACACACACACACACACGCACACACACACACACACACACACACACACACACACACGCACACACACACACACACACACACGCACACACACACACACACACACACACACACACACGCACACACACACACACACACACACACACACACACATACATATATATATATATATATATATATATATATATATATATATATATATATATATATATATATATATATATATGCGTGGTCGTGTGCGTGTGCGTGTGCGTGTGTGCATATACATATATATGTAAATATATACATACGTGTGTGTATATATATATATGTGTGTGTGTGTGCGTGTGCGTGTGCGTGTGCGCGAGTGTGTGTGTGTGTGTGTGTGTGTGTGTGTGTGTGTGTGTGTGTGTGTGTGTGTGTGTGTGTGTGTGTGTGTGTGTGTGTGTGTGTGTGTGTGTGTGTGCGTGTGTGTGTGCGTGTGTGTGTGTGCGTGTGTATGTATGTGTTAAGGTGTCTGAAACATTAATCTTAAAAAAAAAATTCTAGGAAAAAATAATGAAATCAACAGAATACAAATTCATATCGATAACATTTCGTGTTTCGCAAGATACGGCCTTAGGCTATAGATATTGCATCAGACTGAAGAGAATTACAAAGCCAACTCACTGGTGTTACATCATTCGCGAGATCTCTTTTGGATCCTTCATTAAAGAATCGAACACCACAACGCGATGTTCTTCTGGCGGCAGCATCCGCGCTCCTGTTGGTGCGAGTCTTGGGTGAGTATTTGGGTACTTCTCTTATAGTTTAAAAAAGAAGGCGATCCCAAGACTCCCAACAAGAACCAGAATCACAGTTACGACCCGATAGGAGGCCTGATGGTTGGTGACAGTTATAATTGGTTGTGGAATAACCCAGTAACGCGAGAGGTCGCCCGCTGCCCGAAGGTCGTCGGCGATTTGCTGCACTGGGGATACTCCAAGGTGAATAGAGGCGAGGCTCAGGTTACCGTCCCGTGTCATGACCTTTGTTTCAAGTTATCGGTTGTGATTTTGTAATTAGACGGAATGAATGTTTATATTGAATTATGACACTATAAATGTCAACAGCCTTTCCGTCTCGCCCGAGACGTCAATTATAACTGTTGTATTCACTGAGGGAAAAGATAAATATGGATTGTGAATTTGTGTTGCATTGCAGTATGACAGTAGACATCCCGAAAGGCATTGCATAAGACTACATTTGTTGTGATTTAATGTCAAGCTTTATAGAGTTAAAAGAATAAGGGAATCAAAAGCATGATTTAATTTGAAAATGCTTTGTACTATATAGTTACATAATTTCATACTGCAAGATTGAAATATGTTTTCATACAGATTGCATGATAGCTCTTTATGTATTGCATTTTTGGGATTTGATTTTTAAAATTATGACTTTATCTTTGCTATTAAATACTGAAGTATCCAGAGCTACAGAGCTCACTGCTTGAAGGGGCTAATTTGGAAAAATGTAAACATTTACAAGACCCCTGTCTGCCACTGCCCAAAGAGCCATAACTGAACCTCTTTCACAAGCCTCCATATCTTCAAAGGCCAGCCATCCTCAACCACTTATATTCTTAGATAGAACTCATAAACTTACAAAGTAAAGGAGCAGTCCAGTTGCTGTTTTGACAGAATATATGTGATGGGCTTTGTTGGTCAGTGTTGAAACTTGAAGGTACTGCTATTTAGCACAGTAACACTGCTTGGTCAGATTCAAGGTTGCAGACATTCTTCTACTTATTACAGCATGTTTGTAAAGAGATATAGACAAAACATAGCCTGTACACTTAATCTATGAGTGAAAAGGATCACATTTTGAATGCCACTGCTGGTGCTCTTGTAAATATTTACTTGAAAAATTACTGATTCTGGGATGTTCTATAAGATTATCTATGTCAGAAGCTACTAGCTTATCAATCATTCCTTTGTAATATTTAAGTGTTAATGCCAGTTTGTCTTGTAGCTTAAAACCCCACACTTATATGGATAGGGCTTTTAAGCAGAGGCTACTTAGGCTATGGCATAAAATACCATTGGTATCAGGAACTAAATAATACTGGTGAAAGGTAGAAAGAGTAAATTGCATATGAAAAGTCATGGGTTTTACTATGTCTTAAGAAGAATCCTAGGTTTATATTTTACTTGTGTTCCCCCTTCTGCTCTCACTGTAGCCTAGTTGCATGTTGGTACCACACAAGGTTAACCATAGCTACAAGTGATATTATTTTTATATCTCATATTTTTTCTTATTTTTTTCTGCATGATTTAGGTGCTAGCACACTATCAGCTTGTCATAAAATCTGATTTTGTGTTGAATAATTGGAATATCCTATATATTTTATACATATACAAATTTTAATTATTGCATATGTATATGTTATAGAAAGATTTAAAATTTTGGATGATTACAGTAAATTTTTCACCATATAGTACAGTTTCTAATGTCTTCTGTAGGCATGTTTTCCAACCAAAAGATTTGGCACGTGATGAAGTAAGAAGTCCAATATTATTGATAATTCCGAATATTGACGTCTAAGCCTGACCTTCATTTTTCAGGGCTCTGGCCAGGAAGTGGTAACGAAAGTTGTTGAAGTAGTTCCAACAGATATGATCAACATACCTTCATATGCTCGTTGGTTTGTTCGTTTGGCTGGCGTCTCTGGTGCATCTGCTGTGGCCCTTGGAGCTTATGGTGCTCATG